AACGTCAAGTCGAGTGACATATATGTTACATGTTTTTCAAGCATTATTTGCACCAAAAAAAGTTCGGTTCCATGTTCAGTTTTATTGAAACCTTCGCACAATGTTGAACTCTATGTGACGCGTCTATAGAGTTAGCATAAAGATGCACAAAGGCTCCTGGCGAGAGTTAGGAGTTTTCCAAAGAATTCTGATTTTTGCCGTAAAATCCGCTTTTCTCAGGCTAGACAGATTTTCATTTCAAAAATAATTGCATATTCGGAATCAGCGTCAAAAACTGCATTGAATGATATGTGTCTGAAGTATTTCAGAACAAACAATGTTTCAATCCAGTGTAATGAGACGTTTTCAGCGTATCAGCACAGCAATTTTGACATGGTAGGTGGACATGTGCTAGAAAAGTGATACGAAAGTCTGTAAGCAGTCTTTTTATAGGTTTTCGTATATGCTCTTTCATAGGAATGATTTTCAAACTTTCGAAGTATATCCGAACTGATTTTCCAGAGATCGAATCTCTCGAAAACCGGTACAACCATAATCTGAAAGTTTGAAAACCATGCCATTGAAAGCTTACAGACTTTCGTATCACTTTTCTAGCACACGTTCACGTGCATAGTCAAAATTGTTCACTGTGCTTAGTGTCAAAACTCCGTATAGCATTGGATTATCTTCTGGCACAGGTTTGATAGACTGCCTGTCATTTGCCACTAACCACAGATCTTTAGCTTTTGTCGTTAGGGAGCTACAGGCATGCTCCCGAGGCCCACCTGTGCCAACTTTTTTCATGTTGTTTGAATAAAATTCAACTCAAAACAGAGGTAATCGACCATGTTGATCATCGTGGCAATGTTTATTTTCATCTAGCATTCGTTTCCGATCCGTAAAAAAAGATTTGTTCGCAATAACTTTCAGTTAGCATTCATTCTGTACAAATATTAGTTACAAAAAGTCGATTATTAAATAACATTTGTATCTTCATTATCTGAGGTTATTTTCCGAGTCAATACCATCGTCTTTCAACATAGGTTCAATTTCGTCTTCGACAAAGTCATCCGCTTTCCTAAAAGTCATCTCGTACCGACGCGAACTTAGCGCATTTTATTCGTTCGTTGTAATGTCATTTTTCGTTCTGCTTGGTTTTTTTCCCTTTTATACGCATATATACAGACAAATATAGAAAGGAATAAAATGAAAAGTGAAAAAATTCTTCTTTTGGTCAAAATGTTCACTGCACTCACTAAGAAATTGTTTTATATTCTATCAACTTGACAGATTAAAAAGTTAACAAAGTTGAAAGTACCCCTCTTTAGTTAAGACAATTTGCAGTACGCAACTTGTACTGTACGCCGAGCTATCGGGTGGCGCAGAATGAATTAGACTGTTTGTATTTTAAATATTTCTCCTCCTTCTTACAGTTGATTGAGCTAAACTTTTTAACAAAAGATTCCTCGTTGAATTCTGTACAAAAAATGTATTGAGTGTTTTACTGCAAAATTTGCAGTTGTAAAATGCCATGAGAAATTGTGAGAAGTACCACTATGTATAAAAAATAAACGTAGTTACAGTTTTTTTCGTATTATCTACTAAAAGTTTGTGAGACAGGACAGCTGAAGTAGCCCCCGTGTACGCCTCGAAAAGCTCTATTTTCCATCTAAAATTTAAATAATTTTGAGTTAGAAGTGAGGGCGCAAGAATTTCATTATTTTTTGCCAATTTTTCAAAAACTGACGATTTTTTACCAATAATTTGAGCCTTCAAATAAAACAAATAAAGCTTAGTCAAACTTGATCCATTCAGATTGATATTTTAATTTTGAAAACAAATGATTAGTCGTTAGGATCGAATCTCTTAGATTTGGAAAAAAAAATTTGTTTTGATCCACTGCGTAACAACTTTTGCTATTTTCACTTGATTGCTGATAAGTTAATCTTTGCGTTGGATATTTAGATTGAAACGGTTTTCGCTCTACATTACGAGAAAGAGCGTATTTAAAATTACACAAAAATATAAAACCATTTTTTAATGCTTGTGAAACCATTCGAAAAAATTTGCCGAAGAAAATACGTTTATTTTTTCTACATTTTGGTACTTCTCACAATTTCTCATGGCATTTTACAACTGCAGATTTTGCAGTAAAACACTCAATACATTTTGATAATAAACAATTACAAATTAACAAGCAGTTATGTATAATTAATTACAAGCTAAATTTATACAAGTTGTGTCTAAAATGATGTCACTGTGTTACCACTTTTATTTGGAAACCGGAACAAATGCAGAAATTTTATATTTTCGTCGAAATATTCAATCAAATTACGCTTAAGAACGATAATATCTACACAGTGGGAACAACATGGACATTTGCGCAAAAATTGAAAGTGAAATTTTTCAAGATTTGAATAATGAATTATATACATTAACTTATGGCCTATTTATTAGTGAATAAAGTTTTCGGTGACTATTGATAATCATTGAGAAAAGTAAATCACCAAAATTTGTCGTTTTAATACCATTTTACCAAAAAACGATCTTTTGCCAATAAGAACGTAGTAGATGAGAAATAAGACCTATGTATTCTGAAAGCCTGAGTTCCGAGCTATCGATTCATAAAAAAATTTTGAGTTTAAAGTATTTCTGTGTGAGAAAAATAGTGTTCTTTTACAGCTAAGTTTATTTTCTCAGGGTGTGTTCAGTATAGTTTATCCTCCATTGTGCCCCAAGCTCCAAACTGAATGAAACTTTCAGAAAATGTTTGTCAAAATATTTTTGCAAAACCAATGGCAAATCTAGAATCAGCGTGAAAGCGACGTCGATCTGTGTGTCTTTTCATTTTCTAAACCAAAATTGTTTTTCGCTAATGTTTTGATGAGGAAAAAGCTATAGTTTTCACTTTTTTGTCCGCAATGACCATAAACTGGGTTAGTGGTGTTAGCTAAGATTTTAGGTGAGGTTGCAGTAGGGTTAAGGTACGGTTTAAGTTAAGGTTATGGAAAAGGTATAAGACTTTCTTTGTTTCGGATTATGATGCTCGTAAAAAGAGAATTTGAAGGTCTTTTAATAACGAGGTAAAGGTGTACAAGTAGAAGCGAATATTTTTTTTACTATAAATTTGCTGACTCAGATAGTATATGACTGCCTGTATGGTACGAAGTCTTGGGATTCGGCTACACACTTAGAGAAATCATTTCTAATTAGTTGGAAATGTGTAGTGGTTTACGAAAGAGAGTGCAGATGAGCGGTAGTGCCCAGAGGAGTCACTTGACTACCTATGACATACATACCCTAGCTTCTTTGCAGTTTGAAGCAGCAGCACTACCCTTGTCCGAGGCCACTACTTTTTCATTTCTGTTAGTCTCCCGTTTTGCCCGAGGCGGTTTTGTACATCACATAGCTAAATATCTAACTACAAACAGAATTTTAGATCTGCAAAATGTAAATAATTCGAAATTTAAGTGATTAGATTTTGGATTTCAAACAGTAAAAAATGCAGTTTCCACACAGAAAACGCAAAATAAGTTCTTTCCAAGATACAAAATCAGCTTTATTTATTTGCATACTACAGCGCAAAAAAAAACCGAAACTCCATATTGCAATCGCCTAAAAGGCAAATATCAGAAGTGCATCTTAGTTAATATGCGTGTCTCGGAAAAAGAAAGACAGTTTAAGAGATCGGCACCACAGTCATCAAAAATTCCAAATCGTATTTTCATCAGACTAACTAAATATCATTTATTACACTAATCGTTTTTATTAGCATTATTTCGTTTATCTAATAGATGTGAGCATGTTAGCGATAAATTACACCGACACTGGTTTTGTATTGCACCACTCATCATAACAAGAAAAAAGAGAGAGTATAGTTTCAATGCATAGGCTTCATCCTCGTACAAAAAATACTACGAAAAAACTTACTTGAGTAAGCTGTAATCTAACAATAACAGTTGACTATGGTGTTTGTTCGTCTTGTTTATAATGATAAGTGAAGACTACTGACTACGAATTGTTAGTTCTGTTAAATAATTTATATAAGATCAAAAGGAACACGTGATAGATAGAGAAATACAGTTGGATTGTTTTCCGGAGAATACAGAAGAGAAAGACAGTGAGTTAGAGCGTAGAAAAAAGCAAACAGAGAAAAATATCATTCATTATATTAGCCTTTTTTTATTTGCATTTTTTCATTTACCTGATAGATATGGGTGATACAGTACACCGACATTGTTTATGTACTGCGTTTCTGTATTGCTTTTATCAAATTCAAAGGAAACGTTTAGACAATGTATAGTACTACAAAATGTGATGTGTACACGTAACCTTGTTACTCCGAAAATTATGCCTTTGACTTACGAGAATATCCTACGAAGTAAAGCGTTTACTTGTACTTTCAGAGTAAGACATTTATTCCCATTTTGAGAGCAAAAGGCTTACTCTCAGTTTCGTAGTTAGGAATTTACTCTCGTTTCAAAAGTAAGATATTTACTGCTATTTTCGGAGTAAGAGATACAGTTTCGTTTTTTGAAAGAAAATCATTGTTACTACATATTTATCAAGCATTCCAATTTTTATTAACAATGCCGGTTACTGTGGCAAATAATGAACGGTTGTTCAGCAAAATGAAGATAATAAAAAATAGACTTAGAACACAAATGAAAGATGATTGATTGGAGCAACTATTATTATGTTCAATAGAAACAGAATTTACTGATCAGTTAAATATACAACTTTTAGTGCAAAAATGGAGAGATATGAAACCAGGACGACACATTTTACTTTAATTTGCTTTGTGCTGAAGTATATAGCGTTAGATAGAAGAAAAGTCAGTCTTGCTTTAGAAGAAAACTGCTTAGAATATTTATCTTTGTTTTTTTATTTTTATTCCAATTTTTAAAAGCATAAAAATTTACTCCGAAATTGACTTTGCCCCCCCCCCCGGCCTCCGAGGTATCGGGGCGCCCCTGATTGATTTTCTATGGTACCAGTAGTTACATGATACATTAATGAATATGAATACTCATACTGATGAAGCAAAACAAGAAATGATTGATTATTGTCGATTATATTATCATAATGATATTATACGTCTAAAACAAATAGGTGAACTTGAAAAGACATATCATTCGTCTAATGCCATTCAATGGTATACAAAAGATTGTTTTGCATATAGATTTGTTAATAAAGCATTAAGAATAGAAAATGTTGAAGCTTTATATAAATTAAGATATTTTATTGCTGACATATATAAAAATATTAAAGAAATATTTGATGAAAATTTTGAAATGTATAGTGAGTATTTGAAAACATTTCATTTTTATCGTGGTTTAACACTATCAGAAAATGATATACTTCAAATTCAAAATTGTATTGGAAAGATACCATGTACCATTTTCATCAGAAAGATACCATGTATCGATGCTTGGTAGTTTTTTTAAAGGAAAGAGAGAGTGACAATTTTATTTGAAATGTAAATTTTTTCTTTTTATTCTTTCAGTTTGTTTTCTTCTTTTTCTTTTACCATTCATTTTTGATCTTACCATTCATTTGACTTTATTACTTCTATTTATAGTATGCATAGAAGTATGCACGAGAAAATGTATGTATACATACATTTTCTCGCGTAAATTTGAACGAAATAACAAAAGAAATGGAAATTAAATACCGACTTTTGTGGGAAGGAACCTTATTCCATGCAGAAGAAACTCAGTCTTGAAAATAGTGGTTGGTTTTTTGGTATTAGAATTCCAGTATAAGCATTACAAAAAAGACAGGCGTAAAAATCTGTAGGTATTCAGAACAAAAGTTTGTCGCTAATATCAAAGTTATTACTTGAAAAAACTTGATGAACTCGCCGGTTTTTACCGGTCTGAAAATATTTTTAGACCGGCCGGTGACTGACCGGACCGGACCGGTTACAACTCTGATATGCAGACGCACCTAGTTAAAAGTCCCTTTTCCAACTAGTAATCTAGATGGCAACTAGTCGTGCGTCGCTCGATTATAGATGAAATGTGTCTAGATTTTTCCCATAGGTGATTTTTGTTTCGGAAACTGAGTCCATTTATAAATGAAAGATCTATGGGTAGAATTTACACATATAGGATTGAAAACAGAAATATGACCATTACAGACTGCCGCACATCGATACCTTTTTGGTTTTTGACTTTACGAAACTTGAGAACAAAGAAACCTTTCTTTTTTTTATAAAATAGAATGGAAAATTAAGTTAAAAGACTCTGTATGAGAGTCGTCTTGTTTTGCTCTAGCCGAATGGTGCAGAATGATACTGTTAGAGCGTTTTTTCAATAAGGACAAAAAATTCTAGGTGCTGGTGGACATTTTGGCTATTTTTCCCACTTCAAAATTGATTTTCCTGAAAAAGATCGAATTCTAGTGAGTCTCATATTGTTCCCATTCATCTATATCCCTAGGGCTGTCAAGTCTGTCGTAGAAATTAGTTTTTCAGCAACTTTCAAAAGCCTTAAGAATTCTAGCAGAAATTCCATGGGAAGTCCTGTTGTTTGAAAGTTCCTTGATAAAACTAATTTATGGGAACCTTGCCGAAAGAAGTCAAAGAAAAGTCCTCTGATGTGGAAATCTTGTGAAGAACCTCCAAAACAGAGGTGTGCAGGATGACCCTGCCCTATCCTATTAGGGCAGGTGGGCTAAGGGCACGAAACATTTTAATAGGGTAGCGTACAGGTTGAGAGATTTATATTATAGAGATTCATACTCTACCCTTGAATCCCGACGTAGTTAACGATATAGTCTTATTGCGAAATTTTTGGCAGCAACAAAATGTGTGTTTAATGTTTTTGAATAAAACTGTCGGTAGAAAACCGAACTTCGATCACTAAATGAATGATCCTATTTTACTCCTACGTTCTTATATGTAGTTTTAGGGTGCACACTGTCTGAAGTCAATGATATTTTACGTAGTCTGATGAAAATACGATTTGGGATGTTTGATCCGTTTATAAATGAAAGATCTATGTGCAGGATTAACACATATAGAGTTGAAAACAGGAATGTTAGCATAACAGACGGCCGCACATCGATGTTTTTTTGGTTTTTGACTTTACAAGACCGGCTTTATGCAATACAGAGCAAAAATACTTGTAGCTTTCTTGTGATGTAGATGGAGAAGTTTTAAGGTGTTTCAGAGCAGTGGTATGCAGGGTAGGAGTTTTTGTGTCCTGTACCCTACCGTATAAAAATTTATCGTGCCCCCT